AAGAAATGGAGAACAAGAAGCTGCCCCTATTATTAGCTTTTCGAGCAGACTACTGCGGATTTTGCAAAAGACTTGAAAAAGAACACCTAGTACCGATGGAAAATAGCGGCAAATACGCTACGCGCATTCTGATCCGCCAATTCAGCATGGGGAATGATGAAACGATCGTTGATTTCAACGGTGACAAGATGGACGCAGATGAATTTGCAACACGACATGATGTATCCCTTACGCCAACACTACTATTTCTGAATGCCCAAGGAAAAGAAGTCGCAGAACGCTTACTGGGCTATAATAGCCCTGATTTTTATGGGGCTTATCTGGAACAGGCTATCGACACAGCACAACAGGCCACCAAATAAAAAAAGGGGCGCGAACACTCGCGCCCCCAAACAGGAGAAATTAACGGTTACGCACAAATCGACGGACTTCCGCCAAATGACGGCGACTGACTTCCAGTTGATCCTTGACGTTATCCAACACAATTTGGGTACGCCCCACTGATGACTTGGACAAACCGGCAATCGCCGTTTTAGATACCAAGGCATTGCGGTGAATACGAATAAAACGGTCAGCCAAGTCCGTTTCCAAAGACTTCAGTGACTCTTCAATAATCACTTCACCCTTTTTATGACGCACGGTCACGTACTTCTGATCGGCCTGGAAGTACACCACATCTTCAATGGGGATCAGCTCAAGGTTGCCACGCATCCGTGCACAAATATGCTTGCGCGACAACATGCTACGACCCTCACGGTTTTCCAATGCTTCCATACGTTGAGCGCGGTTCAGTGAGCGGGCTTGTTCCAGACTTTGTAATAATTGTTCTTGTCTAATAGGCTTCATAAGATACCCTGTTGCTTTTGTTGAAAAGGCTTCTAAAGCATATTCTCCATACGCTGTGGTGAATATGACGGCTGGTGGGCTATCCATGCCCGAAATGTGCCGTGCCGCTTCTAACCCATCCATACCGGGCATAGAAATGTCCATCAGCACAATGTCCGGCTGATAACGTTCAGTCATCAGCACTGCATCCACCCCGTTTTCGGCTTCTGCACAAACTCCGTAATCGACTTGGCTTGCCAGCAGCCCCTTAATACGAGCGCGGGCATATTCCTCATCGTC